CGCTGCCTGCAACCCTCCAAGCAGATTCCACATGAGTTGGCTAAGAGCCCACAACCATCGCTGCTTGGAAAAAAATATTTCTCTGGCAAAAGGTGCTCGGGTGAGATCTTCCTGGCAGTGATGACTCCTGGATGGAATTTTGTGTCCAGCCAGCGTAGAATTGATTGAGGTTCACCAACCCATGCCCTCCCCGAGTCGCCAAGGTAGGTACGAGGCATCCTCTGAGGCCTGCACCCAAGCCTTGTGCACGCTGCCAAAGCTTCCAGAGCCTGACGCCAGGGCCCAGTTTGCATGCCTCAATGGACCCTCCTTTTCCACAAACCTCAAAGGGCCCTTGGTGTCTCCGTGGATAAGTTTTCTTTGCCAAGAAAAAGAGCCGTGTCATCTGACAAACATCGCACCGCGCCTACGATCCCATCCTCTTTGGCGTATGCTGCATCAAAATCGACGCGCCTGGCAAAGAACTGGACATGCCACGAAGAGCACATTCTGTATGGCTGCATCTGCGTCCCACCATTCCATCAGCCCTCAAAGAAAGCTCACATGCATGCCGGCAAGGCTACCACAGAATTGCCCACCTCTTGCGCTCCCTTTCGTGAAGAATCTCACAAGATGTTCAGTTTGAGCTTGATTGCTTCAAGGTAGGTGGGATTCCTCCGCGTGCGACCATATGTCATGCCTGGAAATTGTGTATTGGCCCCAAGAAACAGTGCTTGGTCGACATCAACTGTTTCACCAACTTCCACGCCAAAACCAATGGTATCTTGCGATGGCAAAGCGAGCCAACTTGCAAGGCTCTGAGACTGTAGCTGTGTCAGCCCCAACGTGGCAGCCCCAACGTAGCAGCCCTAACACGGCAGCACTAACGCGACGGTCCAAACATGGTGGCTGCAATCGTTGAAAATCCAGCCAGGCAGACAATGCGCCAGCGCCGGCCAGTGAAAAAATTGCGCGGTGCAAGCACTCCTGCGGTGATGTGTCTGTGGGCAGAAGGTCAAGGTCGTTGGAGTTGGCGAGCCAATGTATTGACATGATTTACCAAATTAGTTGGTCTTCTGCACCTTGATGCCCCAAGGCTCTCCTCACCGCCTTCGGCCACCAAAAGCCAGGCCATTGGAGGATCTGGGGAAGGCTCTTCCACTTTCATGAGGGTTCTGCTCCGGAGCAGGACCTGGCGGTGCTCTGGCGCTTTTTGGTGCTCTCTGTCGTTTTTGAGGCTTCGAGGTGGGAACTGTGTCCAATCAGGGAATCATTTGAAAATTCTTACCCCGAACATCCGTGTGTGCCTTGAATCAGTAAGTTCGACTGGCTTCCCACAGTGAGCACCAGTCGGCAAAGTCAACCGTTGTCTTCGCGGCTTCTTTGAAACCAGCCCCGTTTGAGGTGTGTCGGAGGGGTAACACCTGAGGGCCCTGACCATTGTAACCCAACAGCAACCAGCACTCACAAACTTTGATCCAGCAACATTGTGAGCAAACGATTCCACCTGTAGCTACCGTTGAGAATCCGGCCGGGACTGTCCCAATTCTAGTTTCATACCGAAAGGGATACCCGGATCAAACGTTCATGCATTTGGAATAGGCTTGGTGCACTGATCGAACGTTCTTCTCCAAACAATGATGCAAATCTCTTGTAAACTGCCAATTGGTGCGACACTGGGAAACAGCTCCATGGAGTGCCTTTCCGAGATGCCCAAATCCCCTCGTCCAGTCACTGGACCGTTCTCAGCACATGCCTCTGCTTCTGTATTTGCCTATTTCAACGGGAAGACCGTCAACTCACTCGCCAGGTCACCAAGCTACCGTTTCCAGCCCTTCGGAACTCCGACCGCGAGAACCGCCTGGGCGCTTGCAGGTGGTTCACCTGCTGGCTTTGTGGGTTTCAGCTCCTCACACCGATCGGCACAACTTCTGCCTAGAAAATCGACCATGAAAAAAGGCGGTGTGCGTGGCATTGTTCTCGCATGTTGTTCCGCTTAAGTTGCAGTTTGAAGAGGCAGGCGACCATTTGGCGTTTCATGTCCAACTACGTTTGAGGCTCCCCATTAAACTTTATAGCCGCCTCGAATCCTCAGCGATTTGGGGAAAGATGGGGGTAGCGAAAGGAAACGCACCAACCAAATGACAAGAAGCCAGCCGGTCGGACTAGACGCCGCCCCTCTTGCAGAACCGATATGTGCCACACCAAACGAAGAGGCTACCCCGCCGAGCATGAGTCCAGCATGGACAAGGCACCCAGACGAGTTTCAAGCCATGCCTAATGCCTATAAATTTCCTTGATCAATGTGCTTCAACAATTGCTCGGAATTATCACGGGTCATGTTGGCGCCGCGGCGCTTCACAAACGCCCGATTATTAAAGCCGCTGGCCATCCTGCATTCTTCATGCAGTGGTCTGGAGACGCTTCAACCTGTGTCCAATGACAAACGGAGAAAAACGTGTTTGATTTTCAAATGGGGCTGCCTGGATGAGTTCGTCACGCACAGATCATTGCATGAGTTTCATGTTCTATCGTTTCTTGCGCAACCCTACAACACCGCCGCGCTTCAGCAACCAGAATTGCGGCAAGGGGGGTCACAACCATGGAGGAGCCAGGTAAGCCTCCGAGTCGCTACGCACAAGCAAGGATTCTAGCAGGGAAACCAGCTCGGAGACATGTCGGCAGACAGGTGAGGAGACAAAGGGAGACAAGTGGGCAGACAAGTGCGTGATGAGTGGGGAGAAAAAGAAGACAAGCCGTCACAAGGTCCGAGTCAGCAATCGCATGTTGGTTGGACAAGCAGGGAGGCAAGTGGCAGACAAGCCGTCACCAGGTCCGAGTCAGCAAGCACAAGCAGGAAAAAAAATGCAAACGAGTCGGGAGACAGACAAGCTGTGAAGGTCCGAGTCAGCAAGCAGAAGCAAGGAGACAAATGGGCAAACAAGTGGGGAGACAAGTGAGGAGACAAGTAAACAGACAAACAAGCAGAGACAAGGTCAGTCAGCAAGCACAAGCAGGGAAACAAATGGGAGACAAGCAGGGAGACAAGTGCGGAGACAAGTCAAAACGCAGTGCGGGCCACCAGAGGTAACCATGTCGTGACTGGAAGCAATTTGTTGCATGCATAGAGTACCCCAACGGCTAAGTTGTTTGGGGAAAAATGCGCAGATCGGTATGTTTGCTCACTTCACAAATCCCTTCGGATGAGTTGTGGCTCTTTGTCGACCCTCATTTAACAATATGTGTTTTAGTCCTGGTATGTTGACCCTTTGAAGAACAACCCTGCAAAAGGAATCTTAACAGGGGGAACCCCCAGTTCTCACCCGAACCTCTCACACATGGAACCCATGCCTGGATCAGAAGATCAAACCGTCAAAAAATTGACGACGACAGCCGCGGCTGTGGGTCCTTGATGCGTTTCAGCGCAATCACCGGGGCCACGCCTTCCCTGCCACTTCTGTTGGAGATCTCCAAGCCGATCAGATCCACCTTGCTCTCCAGCCACACAAAAGGACGGCTCGCCGCCCGGAGCCCCCTCTGTAAAGGGCGGAAATGAGCACGGCATGCTCCAAGAAACCGTGTTTCGGCCAAATTTGCGATCACTCCGACCTTCGGTGCGCACTAGTGAAGTCGAATGGCCGCAATGAAGCTTGAATTGCCAAATAAAGCAGGTTCCTCAAACAATCCTGGTTGCAAGGGATCTCAACCCTTTGAACCCCCAACCCGGTGCCTGTTGCAGCTCCCTACGGCTGCCGGACTCATCTGACAGCACCACGAAGTAGTGGCCCCGCACCGCCAACCGAAACTGGCGCGTGGCGAAAGCGCGAGGCAGGCAGTTCACACATCACCACAAGAGTTTCGGGAAGGGGGCAGCTGGGACTCTGTCCGGCTGAAACCATTCTTCTTGGCGCATGTCCCACGTCGATTGCCGGACGCTTGCAGGTTTGGAGGTTCAGAGCTATTGTGTTTGTGCGGCATTTGAGCCTCAGATTTTCTGGGGGGTTGCGAATGACCTGCGACTTGTTTGCGCGGCCTTCTTGTTGCCGTCCGGCCGGTCCATCGCTGCGTCCACATCCTCTTCTGGAAGGGCGACCGGTGCACCGCTCGGCCTCAGGTCTCAATGTCTCAGGCACGGAGATGACTGGATGGGGTTGTGTCGGTCGGTCTGATTGGAGTTTCGGACCTAAAAAGGGGACGTGTTGGTTTAAATGAGTTTGTGTTTTTCACTCAATCGAAACTAACCTGCTCTGGCATCAAGTGATTGATTGGCCTTTGGACTGCAAACTGGTTGGTGCTTGAAGTAGCGAAAGCCACGGATCAATTCAAATGAAAAATTACTCAAAATATGCTGATACCAGGCTGTTCAACAAGCAGTCTCAGGGTTAGTGTTGAAAGATCTTTGACAGTTTCGCATTCCGGGCAAGTAACAACCAATCCTAATGATATGAGTAGTCACATGTCACGTTTGTTGATCAGGAAAGTGTCCATCTGTCCCGCATCAACAGCCATTGACAACGTCCGCTGAGTCTGCAACTCTGGGTGGCAAGTATGTAACCTGGCGGTGCACGTTTGATGTTGCATTCCAAACAAAGACCTGGCAAGCTCAAATCGCCAATCAGCACGCTGAGTCCAGGCCTGACAAACGGCAGCAAAACGCTGGGTGGAGTGGCAGGGACATCAGCTGAGGGACTTGTCGCTACCGATGGTTGCTGTTCCAGTCCTGCAGCGAACAAACACGAAAGTACCACATGCGACCCGTGCGGCAGCCGGCCTTCGATCGTGTTCCTGCGGCCCGAGCTCATGAGACCAGACCATCACAACGCCGGGCCAACCAAAGCCATGCGATGGAGCTGGAAAAGCAGCGGATGCCACGAGTGCAACATGCCATGAGCGCAAAATCAATGCATTGAGCCAAGATGATTTTTGGCCTGCCCTGCCCCCCCCCCCCCAGCAGCAGTCTATACCCAACAAAGAAAAAGAAATGGTTGCTTCAGCTTCTGTCCTGCCCTGCCCCCCTTTTTTCCCAGGACATTTTTCAAAATCAATATGGCCATGAGTGCCGGGCGAGCATGCAAGTGCACAGCTAACTGCTGCTCTGCGGAACTAGTGCCCCCCGGAAACTGTAAACAATTGTGAGTGCAAAACGCAGCCCGGTTTGCTTTGCTTTACCCTCCGCATACATCACAGCTATATATCAGCACTCTCTGCATTGGACGCCACCTTGAAAATCCTTTTGAATCAGTTCCTCAGTTCCAAATATTGCCATGGCATGCATCGCACTCGCTCTCAACCAGCCAGATTGGGCTTGCACAAGTGTACCATCCGGTCTCATATTTCAGCAGAGGCTCCACATGCTTCATCAAGCGCTCCAAATCTTCACGATGATTCCCCGCGTCGGCCGAGAGCTCTGGCAATAGTTTGTCCAACATACCTGAGACACGACAAAGCCACGTGTGCCAATTCAGCAAGCAAGACTGGGCACAAGGGATGCAGCTCACTACAGGCATTCCAGGCTGCTGTAGATTGCCTCCCTCCGGGAGACCCAGCGGTACCGCCGCTTCGCCAGCAGATCCCCCACGTAGTTGCCCAAGGCGCGGCAATCCTCCGCACTGCCGTACTCCAGTTGCGCTGCGTCGCCTAGCAGTTCATTCATCTGGCTATGGGTCAAAACCACTTCCGTACCCCCAATGAACATCCCAATCCCACTAAAACAGCGGTGGTGCACCCAAAATGGTACCGTTGGTGTTGACCCACGGCCTTCTCTGAACTGTTTCCAGAAACAGCAGGCCGGAAGCTGGCACAGTTCGCCCAGAGTCAACACTGCCAGAAAGTCTAAACAAGCGGCAGTCAACAGTCGGGAGTTGAACTGTTGCCACGCCCTAACATGTAACCCCCGCCCCCATTGTCGCAGAACCTACTGGCGCAAGGGCGCCATCAACTTGCCCCGCCCAGGTACAAGCTTCCGGCAAGGCCGACATGGAGGCCAGGCTTTTACAAACCCCCCAGCGCCGAGCTGCCGAGATCCGTGAAGCCCCGCAGCAGGCGCTTGTCCGGAGACGCGGCTCCATCCGCCGGCATCTGGACCGCCAGCAGCACCAGCGCCGAGACCACGCTGCAGCCCGCCGCCAACGCCCAGGGCAGCAGCACCGGGTCGTGGACCGCCAGGTGGCCTGCCACCACCGGGCCAACCAGCCGCCCCATGTTCCTTAGCTAGCGGCAAGAAAAATCAAACCAGAAGGGAAGTGGTGAAGGTGTTGGGATGTGAAACTGCGCAGTGTTGGATGAAGATGCGTGGCAGCCGGGCTCAACGTGGGGCGTCGGGGCTGGGCTACCAAACAAGCACCTAAGAATGCTTTCCAACAGTCCGACGGCTGTCAGATGGAAGGCATTCTATCCAAAGGCCCCTCTTGCACTCGGAGCCAGAGCACCTATCTTGACAAGGAACTTTGAAACTGCTGCGACGTAATCCCGGCGAACAAGAACTTGCTTTGCATGCATACTTGGCAACATCCCCCTCGACTTGTCAACTTGGAGCTCCGCGCATGTCGAACTACAATCTGTGCAAATGTGTTGAGGGCATTGAATAGTTCCCTCTTTCCCTCTTGAAGCCTTTTGCTTGATACAGACATAGGCTCATAGCAAACTGCTGCTGGGCAAAGACAGTGCCCCGGTTCGAGGCGTCAGTGAACTTTGTGAGGATCGTCCCATTGCTGCCCGAGCGCAAGGTCATGGCCACCCTAGACAGGCAAAGGAACAATAGGGTGGGCCAAACGCCGGGCACAACTGCCATCGCAAGGATAAAGACGCCATTCAAAAGTGAGCCCCACACGGCGCAGCTCTTGAGCCCCAACATCTTCTGTAGCGGACTGGTGCCCCAGATGCTGGTAGCCAGCGTGGCAAGAGCCGACAGAACGAAAGTGAAGCCCACGTGCAGCGAATCGAAGCTGAGCTTGGCATCCAGGAAGATGGCAGTCATGGACACGACAGTGCCAAAGCCGATGCCGGCAAAGAAGCCAGACATACACAGCACCTTGACGCTCATAGACGTGCCGCCCTTGGGGGCGGCTTTGGGGGAAGTCCCACCCTGAGTCTCCTTGGACCAAACAGGTGACTCCGGCAGGTAGACCCAGCAGAGCGCTGCAGCCGCCAGGGACAAAGCCCCATCGACCAACACAGGCACGTTGAGCCCGAACTTGGACAAGCCGCCCCCCAGGCCCGGGCCAAAGGTCATGGCCAAGCTTGGAACCGCGGCAAGCTTGGACATGTAGTCCCCCAGAACCGTGGGGGAGCACACGTCGCTCAAGTAGACCTGGAGGTTCAACATTGTAACCATTGTGCTCAAAAAGAAAAGCCAAAAAGAAATACAAAAAAAAGAACGACCAACAACGGAAGCAATCCTTTGGAGGGTTCCCACCCCCGTCTCTCAAGCGACGACGCCTGCGCAGAGTTGCCCACAGCCGCCCACACCCCCGAGAAGGCTCGCCACACCAGCAGCTGGTAGTAGGTGCCCGCGCAGGCCTGGCCCAGGTTGGCCACGCCGGCGCCCACCAAGGATGCCAGCAGAATGGTCCTGGGGAAATGGCCTGTTTAAATGGGAGGGAAGGAAAAGGGACCTGTGACACATATTGCCGGTCCAGCACCTGCTTTCACTCGCCAACTAGCTTCCCAACAGCTCGGTTCCAGAGATTGGAAAACAAGCAAACTGGGAAGCACAATGATACCTTCCACCGCCAGCAATTGTCACAGCCCTAGCATCACCTGGCATCCCCAGCAAGAAAGAGCCTCATGTACCAACAAGCCAGCCAAAAGGGGGCCAACACTTGCACAGTCTTCAAGCACCTGGCTCGCATCCCTTCTGCGCAAGCGCAACGTCTTCTTGCGTTGCCACCACGAGCCACGCTTCATCCCTTTCCCACAACCCCGCCCCAAACCCAACCACAAAGAAAAAAAGAAAAAAACACGGCTCGGGGTCCAAATTGGAGAAGCCGAGAAAAGACCACGCTGCCGTTTGTTCCCCTTAAAACTCCTAGCTCCCAAAAAAAAAAACACCCGCCTCCGCCCGAAGCGATCAGAGAGGCGGCCCAGCATCGGGGCGCAGAACGCCGAAGTGAAGCTCCAGGAAGCGTAGAGGTATCCCACCTCTCGGGCTGCGGCAAAAAATGAGAGGTTCCACGAGAAAAATCCCTGCAAAGTGGTGGATGGGCTGTTTGTTTGGGCCCGAAACCACAGAAAGAACTAAAAACCAGCATGGAGCCCATAGCATGAAAAATATCAACTCGCCAAACAAGCGCCACCAGCAACCAGCATCGCCAAAACAGCACCCAGCCCAGCACCCCATACTGCATGTCCCCTGGCACTGCCGTCAATCTTGCAAAAATGCACGCGCACCGTCACCAGCACCACAAACAGCACCCCCGAAGAGCACCACCACAAACAGCACCTGCACCAGCACCCCAGACCCTTCGCCCAGCCGTCAATCTCGCAAAACATGTGTCTTGATTAGAAGCTGGAACCTATACCTTCCAGAAAACACACCCACATGAAAAGGAGGCGAAACAGGCAGTGTCGTTGCACCATGCGTAGATGGTATGCAGTCAGAAAGCATCAGTGAACAAAGCAAATTTCGCTTCTGACTCCCCACCGCGGCATTATTGACATGGAAGGACCGCGCATAGTAAGGCAATGCTGGGGTGGAGATGGTGGCCGCTAGCGTGTCCATAAAGATGGTGATGAAAACCATCCATATGGCCACTTGCGGCACAGACAGGCCGGTCTCAGGATGATATGTACCTTGGAGCGGGCAAAGCTCATCCCAAGCATGAGGTCACCCTGGCCAACCCGATCCGCGCGGAAAGGGTCTCTGTGGAATGCTCTCCAAACGAGCTCAAACACCGAGCCGAGGAATCACGCCACATGGCCTGTGAGCCGTAACAAAGCAACACGTGTCATTGGAGGTTCCCACAGCTCTGAGTGACACCTTGGAGGTGACATACTAGTCACCAGCTGATGTTGTTTCCGTAAAGTCAACAATGCAGCACAATGTGACATCTTACTCCTTCTGCAGCCTGCCTGGCATGACACTCTGGAGACAAGAATGGCCGCACAAGCATCACCTGGAAGACACCTAAGACATAAGATCTCTGAGAGAGGCTGTCGTGATCCGAGATGCTGTCATTTGGCAGCAAATTAGACTCCATGGTGCCATGCGGCCGCTTGAGCAGTTCACTTGGCGAGTCACGGCCGTCATGGTACGTGCATAGGCTGGTGAGCAGATGACGGGGATCATGGGTCATACACAAACTGACAAACCTTGCATCCCCATTTAGGACTTAGGCACGCACACGCACACGCAGACGCACACGCACGCACACGCAAACACAAACACACACACAGACACAGACACACACAGACACAGACACAGACACAGACAAAGACACAGACACAGACACAGACACAGACACAGACACAGACACAGACACAGACACAGACACAGACACAGACAGACACAGACACAGACACAGACACAGACACAGACACAGACACAGACACAGACACAGACACAGACACAGACACAGACACAGACACAGACACAGACACAGACACAGACACAGACACAGACACAGACACAGACACAGACACAGACACACACACTCACACACACACACTCACACACACACACACACACACACACACACCCACACACACACACACACCCACACACACACACACACACACGCACACACGCACACACGCACGCACGCACGCAGGCACGCAGGCACGCAGGCACGCAGGCACGCAGGCACGCAGGCACGCAGGCACGCAGGCACGCAGGCACGCAGGCACGCAGGCACGCAGGCACGCAGGCACGCACAGGCAGGCACGCAGGCACGCAGGCACGCAGGCACGCAGGCACGCAGGCACGCAGGCACGCAGGCACGCAGGCACGCAGGCACGCAGGCACGCAGGCACGCAGGCACGCAGGCACGCAGGCACGCAGGCACGCACGCACGCACGCGCGCACGCACGCACGCGCACGCACGCACGCGCGCACGCACGCACACGCACGCACGCGCGCGCGCGCGCACGCGCACGCGCCGCGCGCGCACGCGCGCGCGCGCGCACGCGCACGCGCGCACGCGCACGCGCACGCGCACACGCACACGCGCATGCGCACGCGCACGCGCACGCGCACACGCACGCACGCACGCCCGCACGCACCCACCCACACGCACACGCAACACACACACACACACACACACACACAGCACAGCACGGCCCAACGCGACACAGCACAGCACAACACAACACAACACAACACAACACAACTGCACGCACAACGCGCACACACACACACACACACGCAACACAACACAACACGACACGACACGCCACGCCACGACACGCCACGACACGGCACGGCACGACACGACAAGACACGACACGACACGACACGACACAACACAACACACACACACACACATATATTCCCGTGGCAAATGTTGCCAAACCTCGCGCGCTGCAATCGCCCTTTGATGCGACAGCACTTGCTGATTCACTAATCATTCTCGGCTCGCTGCCAAGAACATAGCGTTGCGATTGCTTCTGACAAGATCTCTTGCTCATCCGGATCATCCACAGAATGCACATCCAAGAAATCGCTGATGTTTCTCCTGCAACGTCCCAAGTTTCTTCCCTAGTTTGGCCTGTGCCTGGATGCCTGTCCCTCCCCTCCCCCAAAAAATAAATAAAAATAAAAATAAAATAAAATGCCGCTCTGAGCCTGTAGTTGTCGTAGATCTGGCGGAGGTGATCATAGGAATCCTCGATCTCCTCTATGAGCCGCGCGCTCAGCTTCCCGCCACCCCCGATGCTGCGGATCCATTCTCCCACCTCCCCGGCCGCTTCGGGCACATCCGCCAGGGCCGGCACCGCGCGCGCGACGGGCTCCGGCTGCGGCTGGAAGTGCTTGCCCGAGATGGTGGCATCCAACACCTGGAAGGCCGGGGCATCCTCCGCCGGCGGCAAAAAGGACACGATGTCCCCAGACACCAGGCGCGTGGGGCGGCCTGGTTGAAGCTTGGCGCCATTCACCCAGGTGCCATTGGACGAAAAATCCCTAAGCAGCAGCAGGGGCTCCCCCGATGCATGTTCTATGTGAAACTCGGCATGCCTCTTGGAGGCGTGCTGGGCTTTAAAGACTATGTCATTTTGAGTGGACCTGCCACATGTCAAACACGAAGTGCCAGCAGTGATCTCCACCAGCGGAGGTACAGAAGAAGTCTGGCCATGCCGCGCAAGAAAGAAGAGCAACTCGCCTTTCTCTTGCTTCACTGCAGGCTTCTCAGGCGGTGGACCCCTGTCCAAGTCCAGCTTCTGAATCTGTGCCCACAAGAAGGCCGAGGGGTTCCTCCGCTGACGCAAGTCCATGCCAATCAGCTTCTCCTGGGCAGCGGGAGGCAGCCGCCGCATGGCCCTACAGCTCTTGGCATCAATGCCGTTGAGCCTCAAGAAGCCCTCGACGGCCAGAGATGGCTCCTGCTCGCGCGATTCCGGCGGCTCCCGCTCTACTCTGCGCCGCTTTGCCTCGGCGCCGCCCGGCGCGGCTAAAGCAGGCGCGGGCGCGGGCCCAGGCGGCTCGCCCGGCGGAGGGGGGCCTGGCTGTATGTGCGAAAAGTCGGGCGGCGGCAGCGGCCAGGGTGAGATGCTGTGCAGCACATGTGGCGGCACATGTGGCAGCCCATGCGGTGGCATGAGTGGCGTCCCATGCGGTGCCACATGCGGCGGCACATGTGGCACATGCGGCACATGCGGCGGCATATGGGGCGGCAGCCCATACGCTGGCATCTGCAGCGCATGCGGCGGCATGGCATCTAGGGAGGTGTTGCGAAAGCGGGCGATGCGGGAGAACAGAACGGCAGAGGGGTTGTGGCAGTTAATGATGGGGCCCTCGTTCACCACCGCCTGTCGCAACGGCATGGTCAGCTCGTAGAAAGCTTGCCTTGCCCTGACGTCCACCTGATGCCGATCCAAGAACTCCTCGTGGGGATCCATTGCCTGGGGCGGCTTCAAGCTGCCAGCCCAGGCCATGCCAACCAAGGACACCAAATGCTGAGAAGGATTCCTTGGCCAATGTAGACTCGAAACAAGCCCATGGACTACAACTGCACGGACCAGCACACGGGTACGGCAAACCCAAACAAAAGCTTGCCAAATAGTGTATGGACGTCTTGGCCAAGGCTGCAAGTTTATCGACCCCAATGTTACCAAAATGTTACCAAATTTACGCAATGTTACCCCAATGATACCAAAATAATGACCCCGATGCCACCAAAATGTTGACCACGATGCCACCAATGTTGTTGACCAGAATGTTGACCCCGATGCCACCAAGATCTGACCAAAATGTCACCCTCCCACCAATTAACATGGAACCTGACGCTCGGAGGATCCTGGAAGATGGTAAAGGGACCAGGTCCCTCAGGTCAGGTTCCTGCTGTTAAAGGGTGGGAGGGCACCATGTTACCAAAATGGTGACCCAAGGGTACCAAAATGCTACATGTTACCCAAAAAATGATACCAACTTTGGTGAGTCGATGCTATCAAAACGTCCAAGTTTAGTGTCCTGCCCCCTTGGCCAATCTCAAAGTCGTGGGCCAAGACTTGCAGCTGCAGCGGTGCTGGCAGCTGCCGCAGCGCTTCCCGGCCCCCTTCGTCGATGCCATGCTGGAACAGGAAGGTCTCCACCACGTCGCTGGCCTTTTCTGCGCCAATCAGAAGCCAAGGTCAGTGACTCAGAGGCCAACATGCGTTAAAAGAGTAAGAGAAGAAAGAAGAGAAAGAAGAGAAAGACGAGAAAGAAGAGAAAGAAGAGAAAGAAGAGAAAGAAGAGAAAGAAGAGAAAGAAGAGAAAGAAGAGAAAGAAGAGAAAGAGGAGAAAGAGGAGAAAGAGGAGAAAGAAGAGAAAGAAGAGAAAGAAGAGAAAGAAGAGAAAGAAGAGAAAGAAGAGAAAGAAGAGAAAGAAGAGAAAGAAGAGAAAGAAGAGAAAGAGGAGAAAGAAGAGAAATCAGAGCAGGACCAGAAGGAAGAAACAGAAGAGAAAGAAAGAGCAGAAAGAGAAAAAGAGAAGAAAGAGAAGACAGAGAGAAAAGAAAAATAGAAAGAAAAAAAAAGAGAAGAAAGAGAAGAAAGATTAGAGAATAACGAGAGGAAAGAGAAGAAACAGAAGAAAGAGAAGCAAGAAGAGAAAGAGGAGAAGGGAGAGAACGACGAAAAGAAGAGAGAGAACGAGAAGAACGAGAAAGAAAGAGAAAGAAAGAGAAGAAAGAGAAGAACGAGAAGAACGAGAAGAAAGAGAACAATGAGAAGAAAGAGAAGGAAGAGGAACGACGGAGACAGCAGGCAAACAAAAGCGAGCTCCAAAATAGCTCTTGTATGATTGAATCTTCCGGCCCCGGCTTCGCCGCTTAAGCAGAATTGTCTGTCAGGTTCCAGGTTGGGTCAAGCAAGGTTCAGCTTCAGCCCGCCTGACCGGAGCTTGGGCCAGGCAAGGCACCAATTGGGCCGGATGACGAGTCCTGTGGGCCAGGGCTGCAAAGCGGTCGCTTCCAACTGACATGACCTCGTTTCTCAGCGGCAAACAGGACCCGGCCGGAGCATTCTCAGCCTAGCATGTCCAGAATTTGACCCGGCCCCGGAACGGGTCAACGGCTGGTCTCTTCGGCTTCGGTGATCCAAATCTCTCATTTGTGCCAGTGGCTTTGCTTGGTTGTGGCTTCGTTCCGTTTCTCGCCTTCAGGGCCCGGATCCGCGCCATGAGGAAGGCGCTGGGGTTCCTGCAGCGGCTGAAGTCCTCCGACATGATCTGGCCCTGCAGCTCTGGGCCCAGGTCCCGAAAGCTGCGGCACGCGTCCTAAGAAAATGGCCACGCGTCTGCGCTGTAACCCCTTCGGACTGGGCGGCTGGCATCTCCACTTCGGTTGGCCTGAACTACCCTCCTGGAATCAACCGCTTCACTTTGTCGAACCTCAAAGCCGAGAGCCCTCCCCCGTCCCTGACTCCTCATCGAAGGTGTTGTTCCGCAGGAACGCGGCCACGTTTTCCCTGCGCTGGCGCGGCTTGCGGTCCTTGGTGGCCCGCTTGATGCGGGACAGCAGCACCGCGGAGGGCTTGTTGGCCCCGGTGAGGTCTGCGGCCACCACCTCCCGCTGCCGCTCCAAAGGCAGCTTCCGCAGCGCCGCGCCCACGTCCGCCGCGATGTCGTGCCGCGACAGGAAGTCCGTGACCTGACCGGGGTCCCAAGAACTCCCCGATTTCCCGCGAGCCTCGAGCTGTTGGACCGCAGCCGCAGCCTTCTCCCTTCGACACAGCAAAGAAGCGTGGAACATGCAATCCCCACCTGCTCCTCCAGATCCGCTGGGTCGTCTTTCTCTTCAGGCAAGTCGTGCCCCTGCAAGTTCTCCCCGATCCGGCCCATGGATCAGGGCTTTAGACATGTCATGAAGCTACCAAATCCACCAACCTAATCCCCAGGCCGAAGCAAGCTTCGCGAACAGCTCCACAGCTCCATCTGGATCGCCGAAAAACACGCAGCGGTCGTTGGGAATGATTGGGCCAAAGGGTCGAGGAATGAATCGGTGGCCAAGAACCCTGCGGAAGCACCTCTGCAAGGCCTAGCAGCCTACCAGTTTGTCCCGTGCAACTGCCCTTGTCCAGTTGAAGAAGGTTCACAGCATCAGGCCCAACCAGCTACCTGCTGCCAGCCGAGTCAACCAACAACATATTCATGGGCTCAAGCAAGTAGATTGAGTCATCCAATTCAAGATTCATGAATGGCTCTTTCTGACACTCATGGTAGAAGCTGTGGAACTGCCTTTCCTTAACCGTGTGGTGATCACGCCAAAGGTCGATTGGACTGATCAATGCGTCCAACAAAGCCATAGCCTGGCGCAAAAATGCATGGGGTGTCTGTGTGTGTGTGTGTGTGTGTGTGTGTGTGTGTGTGTGTGTGTGTGTGTGTGTGTGTGTGTGTGTGTGTGTGTGTGTGTGTGTGTGTGTGTGTGTGTGTGTGTGTGTGTGTGTGTGTGTGTGTGTGTGTGTGTGTGTGTGTGTGTGTGTGTGTGTGTGTGTGTGTGTGTGTGTGTGTGTGTGTGTGTGTGTGTGTGTGTGTGTGTGTGTGTGTGTGTGTGTGTGTGTGTGTGTGTGTGTGTGTGTGTGTGTGTGTGTGTGTGTGTGTGTGTGTGTGTGTGTGTGTGTGTGTGTGTGTGTGTGTGTGTGTGTGTGTGTGTGTGTGTGTGTGTGTGTGTGTGTGTGTGTGTGTGTGTGTGTGTGTGTGTGTGTGTGTGTGTGTGTGTGTGTGTGTGTGTGTGTGTGTGTGTGTGTGTGTGTGTGTGTGTGTGTGTGTGTGTGTGTGTGTGTGTGTGTGTGTGTGTGTGTGTGTGTGTGTGTGTGTGTGTGTGTGTGTGTGTGTGTGTGTGTGTGTGTGTGTGTGTGTGTGTGTGTGTGTGTGTGTGTGTGTGTGTGTGTGTGTGTGTGTGTGTGTGTGTGTGTGTGTGTGTGTGTGTGTGTGTGTGTGTGTGTGTGTGTGTGTGTGTGTGTGTGTGTGTGTGTGTGTGTGTGTGTGTGTGTGTGTGTGTGTGTGTGTGTGTGTGTGTGTGTGTGTGTGTGTGTGTGTGTGTGTGTGTGTGTGTGTGTGTGTGTGTGTGTGTGTGTGTGTGTGTGTGTGTGTGTGTGTGTGTGTGTGTGTGTGTGTGTGTGTGTGTGTGTGTGTGTGTGTGTGTGTGTGTGTGTGTGTGTGTGTGTGTGTGTGTGTGTGTGTGTGTGTGTGTGTGTGTGTGTGTGTGTGTGTGTGTGTGTGTGTGTGTGTGTGTGTGTGTGTGTGTGTGTGTGTGTGTGTGTGTGTGTGTGTGTGTGTGTGTGTGTGTGTGTGTGTGTGTGTGTGTGTGTGTGTGTGTGTGTGTGTGTGTGTGTGTGTGTGTGTGTGTGTGTGTGTGTGTGTGTGTGTGTGTGTGTGTGTGTGTGTGTGTGTTTGTGTGTGTGTGTGTGTGTGTGTGTGTGTGTGTGTGTGTGTGTGTGTGTGTGTGTGTGTGTGTGTGTGTGTGTGTGTGTGTGTGTGTGTGTGTGTGTGTGTGTGTGTGTGTGTGTGTGTGTGTGTGTGTGTGTGTGTGTGTGTGTGTGTGTGTGTGTGTGTGTGTGTGTGTGTGTGTGTGTGTGTGTGTGTGTGTGTGTGTGTGTGTGTGTGTGTGTGTGTGTGTGTGTGTGTGTGTGTGTGTGTGTGTGTGTGTGTGTGTGTGTGTGTGTGTGTGTGTGTGTGTGTGTGTGTGTGTGTGTGTGTGTGTGTGTGTGTGTGTGTGTGTGTGTGTGTGTGTGTGTGTGTGTGTGTGTGTGTGTGTGTGTGTGTGTGTGTGTGTGTGTGTGTGTGTGTGTGTGTGTGTGTGTGTGTGTGTGTGTGTGTGTGTGTGTGTGTGTGTGTGTGTGTGTGTGTGTGTGTGCGTGCGGTGTTTGTGCGCGCGCGCAGTGTAGTCCACGCAGGCCTCTCCAGAATGCAAGGAAGCTGTTGGAAATCCTCACGTCCGCCCTCAAGCTTCAAAACAATGGCTCCTCAAGGCCCCCGCCCGCAAATGAACATGCGAGCACGACTCAGCCGCCCAAAAGCGCCTTTTGGCCGGGCGTCCAGTCAAGAATCCGGGCTCTTCACGGGTTTTCCCTCCAGGGCATCCGAGATGGGGTCGGTAAGGTGGAGCACCTCGTGCAAGACCCCAATGGAGTAGTCCGCCGGGTAGAAGCGGTGCTCCGTGGAGTAGAGCCGCAGGTTCTCCACCTTCGAGGTGTAGAAGTCCACGTGCCGCTGCAGGCACCGGGCGAACAAGGAGCTCTGGGCCGTCTGCCCGTTGTCCCGGCTGGTCCGGAAGATGGACCCAAAGTTGGGGTTCATGAGCGCATCCAACCTGCTGCGCCACCTCGCCGCCAGAGACTCCAGCTCATCCAACACTTTCTGGTCCTCCAAGGAATAGGAATTATTGGCAGCATAGGTCTCCTGGCACTTGCGAGCACACAACGTGAGCACTTGCAGAACTTTCCAGCTCTTCTGCCACTCTGGGCTGGCTTGCACTTGTGTCTCATGGTTCACCTCTCGGATGATGGCACCTGTGGTCCACCCGTACAAGCGCCGGGCATCCACCAAATCCGCAAAGAGTGAGTCGCCCACGTAAATGATGTTGGAGCCGTCGATCGAGCCATCCTCTTGAGATGTACATGACCAACCCATCAAGCGAACTAGCTCGCCTATAGAGCCCTGACAATACACCTCGTCAGGACTCAGGAACGTGATTGGCTTGAACTTGATCCGGCCATTTTTCCTTGAGACTTCCCGGAATGGCCGATTCCCAGTGTAAAATCCTGGCTTGCCTGCAGAAACCACCACCACGTCGAACAGCTCACGCCAAGCCTCCCCACAAACGTACTTCATGCCGGCGTCCACAAACCAGAAGGGTGAATTGGAAACCAGCATCAGCTTCTTCCCAGCATTCCGAAAATTGTCGAGCAGCTGCCGAAGCTGCCCGTCATCTGGTTCAACGTACGTCCCCAAATCTGCACAAACTGTCTTATGCAAAATCCCCGAGATGTGGGCCTGAGTAATCGCCTCCAGCACATCTGTCACCACACTGCGGGGGTCAAAAGGAACCTTACGATCGCGGAACCACTGAACAACATCTGCCAAGAGGCATGCTTCTGCCGTACTGAACAAATCATTTAAAGGCTTCAGCCGTCTCTTGCGTTGCTCTGGTGGAAGAATGCCCGACCCAGTTTCACTTCGATACGTGCGGGCAACAATTTGCGGATCCACCCGCTCACGTCCAAAGAATGCAATGGATACCCGATATCGCAGTGTGAGCATGCAAATCCAGGCCTTTTCCAGATCCACTGCTAGGCCTCGAATCGCAAACCTTGGGTCATAGCCTGGCAGATCGTTAATCATCTCCTTGGGGTACCCGAGTCCTTCCACCAACTTCGCTTTGGCAAGCTCGTAAATCAAATGCAGGATTGCAGGTTTGTAGCTTACTAAGGTGTAATCGTAGTCAAACCCTACCACCTTGGCGTATCCCAGATTCACGTACGAGTTTGCATACACGCGGTCTTCCACATGCACATGGCTTTCAGAGATCGTGCTATCTTCAGGCAAAGTAGACAGGTTGGAAAGAATCTGATTCGCCAAATCCTCTGCTGCAACTATCAACTGATTTGTTTTCTCATTGCGCGGATGCCGCGGCAATTTGACAATCCCTGTTCGGCTCGTGCTGCGTCGCCAGACACGGGCGTCCCTTGCAACCCAAGGTGTTCTGCAGAACGCTGGTGCAAGGTGCAAGCTCGAAAAACAACCAGCTGCAATGAGCACAGCGCAAAGCACAGATCGAACCTGCCTCCGAAACATGGCTGGACAGCAATGGAATCAGCAAAAAATAATTCACGGTCCTTTGTTGACTCCAGAATCAAAGTGGCCGTTTGCTATCTAGACTTTGGCCACGTGTCAAACGAGGGCTCGGATCATCAAACAAGCTCAGAGATGGGCATTGAGCCAAGCGGCACCCACATCAAAGCGCTAAGCCCAGCCAGGATCAAGATGCAACCTGATTGAAACCACCCAGCTTCATGCATATAGCTAGCAACACAACCATGGTTTGTTACCTTGGACAGAGAATCCCAATGGCAAACAAGACAACAGCCACCAGAGCAATTCTACACAAAAAAAAAAAACGGCGCACCTGTTTGACCGCACGAAACCCTGGGTACCCCGAAAGCCCCCCTGAAACAGGCAGCCCCTGCAATGGGAGGCGGCTACAGCGCGCTGAAGGCGACGCCGAGGCCCCACCACGCTGCCACGCAACGGCGGCCAAGCGGCGTACAACACAGCAGCGACAACAACGAGGAAGCGGTCAGACAAACTGACGATCAGACCGCTTCCACCGCAGGTGATCGTGGCGGAGCGCGGGCGCGGTGCCATCCAAAGCGACCTGGCCCGCGCATCGGGAAACCTTGTTTTAGACACGCTGTTCTCAGATCCTGACCTCGCGCTGTTGTCGCAAGCGGGGTCACGGCGGGGAGAGCCGCTCCCCGCATCTGCGCGCGCCTGCCGCTGCGGGCGCCCCGATGTCCGGCGTGCTGCGGACAACTCTGGCCTTGCGGCCCCTCGGCTGGCCGGACGAACGTCGATGGCAACCTGGGCGCCATGCCACACTGGCAATGCGGGCGCCATGGTCTCGCCGCACCGTGCATCTGATACCAGGACATCAGCGTTCATCTCAGCCACGCGGACACGCTTGGGAACATGCCCGCCTGCTTCGTGGCAGGCGCGCGCGACCGCCCCACAGGGACAGCGTAAGCGCGACTTACCCAGCACTGCTTGACGCGCAGCGTGTCTTGTCCCAAAAAACAGTATGAAAGTTCCAAGCCAGCCAGCCAACCAACCAGCCAGGCCAACTTGTTGGCACCTGACAAAATATGTTCACCCAGTTTGCTCTTTCCGGCGCCCTTTCAGCATCTAGAACAAGGCAGGAAACGGGATATTCCTCTTTGGCGGCATTTCAATCAAACTTAATAAGCGGCCCGGGCACAGGAGGGCTTGAAGGAAGGATGTTGGTGAGCCGGACAGCCACATGTTTTTGCCCCGCAGCTGCCGTTTTGGCTCCACGACATGGAGCCAGGTAATCGCTTGGGCGCGTGTTCCAGTGCGCACACACTGCTGAGAATTTCGGAATCGTTACTTGCGCAAACTCGAGCATTGTAGACTGCCGCTGCCCACATGAGCGTGTGGTGGACAAAAAAAAATCCACACACCTTTTCCGCCGCCAGATCTGTCCCCGAAACCCCCCTTTGGGGATGCGGTCAAGGAGGCTCCTGGCTCGGGCAACGCGTCGCTCCACAAAGGCAACCCCCCATCGACATTGGAAGCCGAGTGGGGAAGGAACGCACGCAAGCTAGCAGCGTATGCTCTGCGGGCAGCCGCCGCACAGAGCACCACCGCCGGGCGAGGCCTGCAGCGCAAGAGCTGCGGAGGCGCGCCGGCGCGGCCCTGGCCCGAGCCTTTGCAAGCTGCCAGATCAGATCGACGGCTTCGCCACCTCGATGGCAAGCACAACAAGGCGGCATCTGGAATTGCCTTGCATCAGCTCGGGATACGTAAGCTCCTTGGTCCTCCGAGCGAGGCGCAGCGCGGCCCCCGCCGCCCGACCTTGGTAGCGTCGGGGGCCGGCTGCGGACGTCAAAGCCAACACAGGGGTAGCTGCAAGACCTCGAGCGCCGGCCAGCCGCGCCCGGGCAGCTGCCTGTTCAACGCTGCACCTGCGACTGCACAACACGGCGCCAACAGTGGCCGGCTGTCACGCCGCGCTTACAAACACGCAATGGACATGTTGGTTCCCCACGTTGGACAGTGTTTGTTTGTTCCATTTCGCGGCGTTTGTTTGCTACAGGTTGCAAGCCCACCGTCCCGCCAAGCCTGCCTCAGCGTGCCTTTCGGGTTGTTAGACATATGTCATGCCGTGAGCGCATGTATGTAGATGCCATCATGTGCGCATGTGACCGTGCAGCGCGTGGACGGGCACGTTTTGCTGTTGTTTTTCTACCCCGCGCGCCTTTTTTCAACTGCATGGGCATCCCACCTTCCCGGAACATTGGCATACACGCTAACATGTGCGCAAGTAACCATGCAGCGTGGACCGGCACATTAACATATGTGCGAGCGTGCGCGGCACAGGCAGTCACGCAGTGCGTGGACGGCAGTAGCCCGCCGTGAGCGCACGTATGTCGCGCGTTCACATATGTTCCAACAAGCGCAGCGTGTGGACGTGCATGATTTCCTCCCCCGCAGATTTTGCGTCTTGCCAAGCGGTGAGACACGTGCTTATGGAGGAGTCCCGGGCACCAGGACACAGGCACTGTTGGGGGGTGGCGTGGGCCTGGAAGCAGGCGCGGGGGGAACCATCACCCAAAACGGGTGACGAGGGGCGGTGGGCAAGCCGAGTCCGCGAGAGGTCGGGCCCAGCGCCGCCAAAGCCAGACCGGCCAGCGCTGACGCGCCCCTCAAGGAGAGACTCGGCGAAGGACAGCTGAGCCGCAAAGGAAAGGAACGCCGACCAGCGAGCAACAAAGGCGGCAGCCGTGACCCAGGAGGCGGACGAGACGTGCATGTTGACGCGTAGACAATTCGTGCATGTGCCACATATACGAGTACATTTGGAAAGTCCAGCACGAATTACTCGGGACCGCCTTTTCATTCATTCATTCATTCATCGGCCTCGCGTCTGGTGACACATGGGCATGGAGGGGAAGATGTGCTAACCGTCCCTGGAAAAGCAGAACGTACGAACTTGAGCACTCCACACCGTTGGGTGAGTGCGCAAAAAGCCTTGCAGGCGCTCTTCGCTTCCAGCACAAAGCAACGCCTGTTTTCTCACTTCGGATGCCCACGTTTGCTTGGGACGCCCGCGCTTGCGCGGCAACTCGGCCTGCAAAAGTTCCAAACTGTCGCCTTGGAAAATGCATCTCCTCCTCACGTCTTCAGAGGGAAGCGCGGCAATCCGAGCCAACAACAATAGTGGCCTGTGCAGTACAGTCTTAGAAACCGGGTGCTCACCTGCCCTGCGTAAAACTTCAGCATTAGAGACTCTGCTGATGTGAGAATGCGGAATGCCCTGTATTTGTCGCAAGCACATGGATTGAAATGCATCGAGTTGCTGCAAATCGGCCTTCTGAGCCAAGCTGTGTGCAAACAATAAAGAAGTCTTGAAAAAACGCAGGCATGTAGGATACGAATCTTCTTTCCAATGTTCAACGAAGAATGCGCCCAAAATTCGCTTCAGTGTGTGAAATTCGGCTCTTGCAGTGCCAATTCGTTTGCTCAGCTCGGGGCCAAGTAGCACAGGGATTCCTGACGTGCGTGCCGTCAGGCTTGTTGATTTCGATCTCACAGCGCACTGGCAAGGCCATAGCCTTGCTCCAGTTGACTGCAAAAAAAATAACACTCCAGTGTGGACCGGCCAACAGCGACCCGCCCTTCGAGCAAGAACTCGGCAGGGGGAGCCAGGCAGACCACCAAGCCACAAGGGCTGCGACGACAGCCAGGCCTCGATAGGGTTTGGGCGGCGGGTCAGCCGGCTGGCTTGCAGCAGCGATGACACCGGCATGTGTCTTTGGGGATTGGCAGCGGAAGCGCTAAAGAAGGACGATCCGGATGAGCTGCAAAAGCCCAACGGTGGCGGACAAGTCCTGGAAACCACCCACGGGCGGCCTCACTGCTCTTGAGCCGCAGCCGCACGGAATACTCCTTTCCGCGCACGGCCAAAAGGTCCTTTACTGAGATGCTTGCGCATGTTGTCGAGAAAAACATCATAGCGCACTGTCCCAAAGGCATTCATACGACAAGGTCCAAAGGGCGCATGTCGCGCTCGCCGACGCACTCAGGAACCGTGTGGGCTAAGCCGCCGCTGTGCTACCACTTGGCCTTCCATGCCGACAGCCTCGTGACCCACGCCCGGGCCCGAACGCAGTTCCCGGAAGGTGTCACTGACACCTGCCTTTCTGAGTTTTTCGCCAATACACGGGGTGGCGGCGTGAGCAATGTTCGGACGGGATAGCCACACGGCGGCAAACGTGGCAACAACAAGGAAACGTGCGCAAAAAGACCAGTCCGAGTCGCCGGCGTCTATTTCGCAACTTTGCACGTCAACGTGCTGTGTTGTGCCAGCACGCGACCCCTCAATCGGCCCCATGACACCCAACACCCTGAGCGAAAACGTTGGCCGCGGCGCGCAATTGCTTCGCAGCCATGGGAGCAGCGACTTCGTGGCATGTCAGCCGCTGCTGTGGAAGGCCAACACTAGGGCTGAGGCGGGGAGTGCCGCGGGCCGAGTATCCTTGCGGGCCACTGTGTGGGCCGCAGAAACGATTCATTGGCGATGGGCGCAAGCTTCGCCACCGTTGGTGCGTTGGAGGCCGCAAACGCCGGAGTCACCGACACAAGTATGGTTTGATGATCTCCCCCGCTCCCTTTCGCGAGTTGTTGGTGAATGGCCGTCTGGTTTTTACTTGCCTTCGGCTCAGCTGAGCGAGCGCCACCTCGTCCAAGGCAGCGCTGGCAGTTCATTCAGGCAGCGGCGCACGGTATCGTCAAGCGATCTCCTATCGCGCGAGCGCTATTAGGCCCGCCCAAACTTGCTACGCGCATATTGTTCATATGTTGCTTCAAAAGTTGCCCTCCGTATGCGTTCATGAAGGCCGCAGTGGGAACGCGCAACTATCGTTTCACACAAAGTGCATGAGGGTCGCTCGCAAAAGCATAAGATGGATAGGGCGCGTTGCGTTGTGGTTGGCCACACCATGCCGCACGCTGGCAGCCATCTTTTGCGCCCTCAGCCTCAAACAGAACCTCTAGAAGTGGCAGCCGCAAAGGCTCATTGTCTTCGCGCACGCGGCTCCGTGGCCGGCCGGATGGCCAGTCATCGAGGCGCGCTGGCCGCAGTGCGCGGGGTCGGCCACTTGCACAGTTGGAGCCCTTAA